CGCAGCGGATGTTCATTAAACAACCTCTGGACCTGTGAGCCTACCGACAGGCGCTGAGCTGCATTCACAGGGAATCGACGTTGACGGATGAACCGTCCCGAGTGTGGCTCGACTGAGATATTAACCGATCTGGGCGGGGTTGTTGTAGCCGCTACAACAACAACTAGGTACTGATTGTCAATTTGCGTAGTTTGTTGTAGTTTTTTTTTTTTAATTTGACAGCTGTGGACCGCAGCTCGTCGTTTTCATTGTATCCGGGCTATTAAGCTTGTTTTATTTCCAAACAGTATTACGCTTAAACTGTTGTAATCGATTTAATTAGTATTTGCAAAAACAGATACATGCCCTGGCAAATGTTGAATACTTAAGTCCATCTTTTTTTGTATTTTACATTTATTTGCTTGTTATTTTAATGGAATGATGATGATGATTAGAATTAGCTTTACGCCCTATTCTAACAGCCACAAAACTCAGCGCATCACTATGATTTCTACTGCGCCTGAAAATATGCCACAAAAGGTTGATTTTAAGTGCCAAGGAAGCGCACACATATTGGAACTTTTTTAGCTGCATATTTGTCGTAGCAGCATACTTAGAAGCGTAGTAGAAATCACAATTGATGTGCCTAGTTTTGTGACTTTCGTTAGAATAGGGGAGTGATTGATTATGGGTTAAAATTAAAAAAATTAATTACTACAGAAATATGCGCATTAACAAACAATGAAATCCTTTAGTCGTACATCAACTCACAAGGTCTCTAATCAACGGAAAAACTAGTAAATAAAATTAAACTGTTTACGATAGGCAGTCCAAAATACAAATATCAGGAGAATTTAATAAAAGCACATATGTTTCATATTTGATAGAAGTCAAAAGTGCAGAAATACAATACCATGCATACAATAAGGATTAATGTTCTTTGTGGCAATCATTTTTATTCTGAGATGTCGTTTCCTTTCTTTACCGCCTAGGGTGCCTCTGGAGTTTTCAAATTATATTTCGACTTTATATTATTAAGTTCTTCTTGCTTCTTATCGACGTCCAGGCGTTTAAATGCTTTATTTGACTGGTAGTATAACACAACCAGATAACGATTACAAACGTTAAAGCCAGACAAATGATCACAAGCATTCTTGGCGTCGAATATGTCCTCGTAGACAACAAAGGCAGTTCCACGTGTCTCCGGTGTATTCCCACTTCAATAGAAGGAAACATTAACGTATCTGCACGCTTTTATAAAATATCTACTTACACACGAATTTGTCTTATTGCACCAAACTTCCCAAATATATCATACATTTCGTCCGAGGTAATTTTATATGGCAAATTTCTGACGTACAGCAGCCGATTTACCTCAGGTGGTAAGCGAATCTACCAAATATAAAAAAATATATATAATTAAACGAATTATGGGAATTGCATACTATATAGTCAACAAACTTACATTGTTACGTTTATTCATTGCAAGTTATTTCTACTCCTTTTGTGGATTTTTATAGATATTGTTTGCCTGAACGTGAGCGCACTTTGGATTATCCTTTGTGTCTAATCTACACTTTCTACATTCGCCTTTTCAGAAAAAACAAAGGTCTATTTGGTCTACAATACAAAAGTACCCTTTTTCTCGTACACTAGAGATGAGCAGTGTTGTTCCGATACAAGTAGGTATGAAACGATAAGAGTAAATACATGTACATACTCGATACTTTTTGTTTGATACCAATTAATTTTGGTAATGGTACCATATGGGCCTCCGCACACTGGACTGCTCAGTCCCCTAAAACCGGTTTTGTGTGGAAAAGACGGGGTAGAGGGTTCGAGTTTACCTCGCTCAGTTCAGTTCGCGAAAATTGCGGATTGACGGTGGACTGACACGCACACATAGACAACATGTTTTCTATTTCGTTTTGTTTGCATGTGCCACATGCACTAACACCAGAGAACGTATATGAATGAGGAACATTTTGCGTATACCATAGTTTATAGCAAAATTAAATATAAAAACGAATAAAAGAGAAACAGAAATCAAATAAGTACTAGGCAGAGGGGGTGCTTGCGGAGGCACGCGCGTGCTTGTGTCGGACCAAAACAAACTCTAAAATAAAAATGGAAGTCAGAACAACAAGTGTAGAGAAAGAACCGGGAAACGGGGAAAGGAGAGGGTTTTGTACATTTGCTTGCTTGCCGAAAATATGATATTTGCGTGAAATCGATTTGCTGATTGCAAATAGATTTTTACGAACATGTATGAATTTTTCTTTTAAGCTAAGTTAATAAGATTTTCGGGTGGGGTTTAGTAGCGCTCACAACTATTTCGGGCTATCCCGACCAAAGGGGTGGCCCGATCAAAAAAAAATTCCACACACTTGTATTCAAGGGTCTACGCATTATTTTAACACTCACTTTTGTAAATTTTGGTCACTAATTTATTTACAAATAGGGTTTGAAATATGCCCTTTTTTTTGTAAAATTCGGAAATTAGCGTACATTTATCACTCCTATTATCCTTAAAGCAATCACTTAATCAATGCATTTTTGTATTCCCCCTCACTTTACACTTTACTCGATTAGTTATAGCTTGCTTTACGACTTTAATATTAACCAATTAATCACAATTCATTAAATAAAAACACCTTCAAAATCACGCGTCTGACTTTGGTTGCATATGCGAATTAAATGGCGGAGTTCAGCTGTCAAACTCCAAAATATGCAAAAGAATGAGAGACAAAATAAGATAGGATATAACCCAGTAAGCATTAAAAATATACAAAGGTGTTCTCTGCAAAAGGTGGTCAGCTCCTTTTCTTCGCAAACCGAAAGGAGAATTCTACTGCCTGAGGGTTATAATCCCTAAGTGCGGCCGAAGGCCGCCTACACAGAAAGGAATTCTACACAAAACCACATTTGTTAAAAATAACATTTATTTTATAAAAACTTGTTTTTTCTATTTTTAATTAACTTTTTTATTCTTTATTCAAAATTGCAAGATATCTAATTTGGCATAATTTCTTTTATTAAAAAATCCCACGGCTTCTGTTAGTTGGGTCATATTCCACTTCAAACTGCTCAGTTTTCCAAAGAAAATTCCGTTTTCCCCCTTTTCCAAACGGTTCCCTAGGGGCCTATGGGAGGAGCCCAAGGGGGGGGGAGAGGGTTACGCCTTACAGAAGTTACCATTTTTTACTAGAAATCGATCCCGTACTTTTCAATGTTACTCTCTCGCTCTGAGCGAATTTTTATTTTTTGACAGGTTTACTAGTTTTAGTCCGAGGAATTCGGGATTGCACCTTAAATAAGGTAGAAGTGATTTTGAAATTTCTCTCTTTTCATTAAAAAATCAATTACGTGCTATGATATTTTTGTAGTTTTTTTTTCGACCACATCCATTTATAGATACATATACAAAAATGAAAAGTAGAAGGAACTACGAGCGTTGCGCTATGTGTGGCAAGAGCCAAGACGTTAAAGTGGTGTGATACCTTAGGGCATCTAGTTGCGAAGTTAGAAATCTTCCTTGGAATAACCGCTGCGGTGTTCCATTGCAAGATTCTTCCCGTGTCTGTGAAAAGTCATTTCAACGCGAATGATTTTATTACTTCCCCATTGCAGGAAAATATTTTTAAGCGCATGCGTTTATACCTAGGTGCAGTTCCCATGCCCTGGGAGGTTCCTGTGCCTGTAAGGCCTGAAGAGCACGAAAGTTGAGAAGTGACGATATCATCTGTTGATGCGCAGGGTAAAAACATAGTGGAGCGGCGAGCAAAGCGAAGAGCTAGCATCGAGCAAAGCTCCAATTACAAACATGTATGTATGTACGCTTTGCTCTGCACTATGCGTTCTCCCATTGAAACATATGCGTTTGAAATCGACGCTTTGCTCGATGCTCTTAGCTCGCCGCTCCTCTATGTTTTGACCCTAAAGCTGATGCCACATAAAACTTTTGCTGCGCTTTACGTGACAGATTCGCTTTGACAGAGAGTCCGATTAGTTGTCACTTCTACCTTATTAAATATGCATTGCTTATATCACCTTGAACAATAGGGGTATTCTTGAAATCTTGCAAAGCCATAGCAAATTGAATAGATTGCATAGCTTGCAAACACACAACAACAAAATACATGGGAAACAAGATGTGCTATTAGTTCAAAATATACAACGTCTAAGCCCATGATTCAATAATACAAGGTTCGATAAACTGACAGTTGTCTCTCTCGCACCGCTGCCTTAGCAGTGGCACCGTGTTGCTTCTTTGCACATTTACATGGAAACAGTGTAGCTTTGGTGTGAAATAGAAGTATGAGCGTTTGTGCAATATGTTTATTTGTATATGCATATGAAGCATATTTAACTGATGAAAACATAAACTGTTTTTAAATTGGATGTTTACATCAATCTAATAGTAGTCTTATTTTAATTTTGAATCATTTTGCAGTTTTTATACAGCATTACAAATTACGTAATTCACATAGATACATCAATATTACGTTCAACATTTCGTTTAAAATGCCAGATTTCCTGCAAAACCATTAGCATTTACAAAAGGAATTCCACTACTAATTGCCTACTTCGGGTACTTTTCTACTACCGAGATTTCATTCCTCCCGTTTTCTCCGTCCTTCGTAAATTCAACCTTTTGTAAGGGAGTGTCAAACCGCAGCTGTCAGTAATTATCTAACCTTGTATTATTGAATCATGGTCTGAGCCCATGCATACATTTTGCAGGACAGCGTAGCAAGATAAATGCTATCCTGTGCTAGCTGTTTTAATGTAGGAACTGACAGATATTTCTCCGATTCCACTTGCTTAAATTATTTCTTGCTGTATCTTGTTATTGTATCTGACATAGACTTTTGCTGCTTGCTACCTATGCATGCTGCAACCTTGCAATTGGGTGCTGGCGTGCTCTTGAAAAGTTGGAATAATATTTTTGCAATTTCGTGCAATCCGTGCAACGTGAGACTTCGAGAATATCCCTAATGTATATTTTAAGCTCACAAAAATATTTTATAATTGGTTTATATTTTATAGCTGATTATATTTAGTACAATAATTTATGTTGAGCACTAGGTACACTATTCTTAGGTATAACATTGTGAAAGTTGTTGTAATTATCTTTTAATTATTATACTTTTTTCTTTTGTATATCCCTAACGCACATGAGTCGTTGAAGTACATATAAGTTTTTCCAGCACAAATATTTACATTTAATTAGCTTCAGCCAATTGGGTGACACCATCCTTGGTTATTAACTGCAGTAAACCACCAGAATTTGGACGGTCTTTACCTTCAGTCCATTTGTAAAAGAGGCTATTATATAATAAAAACCTCCCATCATTAAATGTTCTAGTTTTGTTATATAGACATTCTTACCCAGCTACTTCTGTCAGAGGAGTCCATGTGCTGAAGTCTGCTTTCGGCATCCATTTGCGATTCATTGGAGTATCCAAAGTGACAGGGAGTATAGCAATAACAATAGAATCAGTGGGTAGTCCAGAGTTTTTACCAGCTAATGAACGAGTTAA